ACTCTAATATAGCCGAAATCGTCTCGAGTTGCTGGTCCGCCCGAGCGCAAAAGGCCTCGAGTGCAAAGAGTTAACATCGACATTATCGACCAGTTTTCGACGTTAATGACATAATCTACACGACTGAAGGATAAATGATGTATGATACAGGTTTCCTACAAACTAAGTAGAAAACTAATGACATGAGTCGAGAACTCATCACTGACGTGTAGTACTCGTACAAGGAATGAGACGTCCGCCAAGAGTAGATGATTCGCGCTGCACGCGATCTCGTCGCTGCGACCGTTGGAATCGTCCGACAGAGGAAAGCGTGACGTGGATGAGAATCCGTACGCGGTGGCCGGTGGCCGTAAGACAGCAGGTAGTAGTGCGAGCTGGCCGTTCGCCCGTTTTCATTCATGATTTCGCGATGCTGGCGCCGGGCCTTCGTGTGTACCTACCACCTGCCCCGGCGGCCTCCTTTGCGTCCCACCACTACTACCGGCTGCCGCCGTCGAGCCACCCCTTCCTGTTCTTCCCATCCCCCGTGTTTCGTTGCCGGCGTTACCGTTCTCCCACCACGTCCAAGGATGTACTTACGTTCGGTGCGAAAGTGTTATTGGTCCTCGCCGTGGCAAAGCGAACGGGCGAGGGCCCTCCTGAGCGTGGAAGATACGGTTAGTAGAATCGGAACACGGGTCGATCACGTTCCGCTGTCTAATTCTCTTGGTCAGCGCCCCGGATCGATCTCGGTCTCTTCTCACTTTCTGCGAACCTCTTTTCACGCGCTACCGTTGCGACGCGTCGCTGCTGCGAGCTAAACTTTAAACGATTCGCAATTTACGGTGAGCGTGATTTAAGAAAAAGTCTCGTTTGATCGAGTATCGAGAGGCTCGTTGTGAAGAAAAGAAAAAATTCATTTGCACACTTCCGAGCGTGTAATCCGATGAGGGTCGAACTAATCGGCTCGCAACCTATTTAACGTCGGCGTTATTATTAGCAAGATAGATGGAAAATGATGAGATACGAGCAAGGGACAGAGTCGGTTCATCAGCGAGCATTAGTCGTAAACGATTTTGCGTTTAACCCTCGGACGACGGATTCTTCCGGGTCACAACGCGACCGTACGTCGCGAAAGTGAAACTGGAAGAGCGTCAACTATAAACCAAATTCTTGATCAATTGCTTTACGCAGATTATACTCTTTGGCCGGTATTCATAGTCGTTGCTTATTCTTAAGATCGTCTTAAGAATTTGCTATCCCTGTCTATCCCATATTTCCAGTCCCTGTCTTGTACAGGGAACATGGAGCAAATGCTTAAGACGATCTTAAGAATAAGCAACGACTCTGAATACCGGCCTTTATCTTGTTAAACACGTGAACAACTGTTCACAATTGCATTTCTTCCGCATCAGGTCCTCGCATTCGGCTCGTTTGCCCCTCCCTCTATGGGTATAAACAAAGTCGCCAGCGCCCATTTCAGAGTCCAAACATTCTCCAGTCTTCAATTTTTTATGTTCATGAACCTTCCATCATGCTCTCTGCTTACACGTTTTTGCAACCGTCGTCGCATCGTAGAATTGCACGTGATTTAAGAAATCGCGTGGAGGACGAGGATCATGGGTGGTCGGGAGGTTATGTTGTTGGTGTCGTCTATCGTTTCGAGTCGGTGCTCCGTTTTTCCTCGTGCTCGTTCGTACCCTCCCGTCGGCGACCCGGAAAAGCACGAGACGCGTGTCGGTTCACTTGCACGGAAATTATCGAACAAGCGTCGGAGAGGTCGCCGGAGGTCGGCCGGCTCGAGAGCACGTTTCGATTCGTTTCTCGATACGCTCAACGGCAACGGGCTGCGAAGCTCGAGACTCGGCGGGACTATACTTCGATTCCCGCTCGATCTTTAAAAATGTAACGGTTCTCGCGAATCGCTTCAAATGTTCCATCGAATCTTTTACTGTACGCATCGACCGTGCGCAGAAGAAATTCTATGATTCTGACGTCCATGTGAAAATGTATTTGTATGTATGTTCTGATCGCTCGTCGTCCGGCGTCCGGCGCCAGCAGGCGCACCTACGTGAACGTGTGCGCAACGATTTGATCCGGGATCTAATGAGACGCGATATCCAGGGTTGACTCGACTGTATGAGAATCGAATCGAGTCCGTATCGGCGAACAACGTATAAAAGTGATCGCTTCACGCGTTCAGAATGAGCGATTCTATCTTTATGACAAACAGTTCGCAAGGAACGAATCGTCTCGCGCGAGAGGCTTCTCAGCGGAATGCCAACAACCAACACCCGCGCGTCAGCCCCATCCCGAATCGAGGAACGCGGATCATGCAAATACAAATATTAATACGCGATCCGGCGAGCAACGTTACGCAACCGTTAATAACCCGTAATGTTTGCAGATAGCCGCGAGTCGTATTGTATTAACACGTGATAATGTGATACGATGCTTGTTATTGGAACGGCGCGCGGCGTCGACGTATCCGAGTAATTACTGTTACGCGCTGCCGGGCTCGATGCACACGTCTATTTTTCAGTCGTTTCCCTTTCAGGGATCAAGATATGCGCGTGCACGCCGGCAACAAATAATTGGATCGGTGTATTAATTATCGAACGTTCCTGACCGCTCTGTTGTGAATCGCTACTTTCTCCGATCGAGCGAGCATCGAGCGACGTCTCGAGTCAACAGTTTCTGGCTCGGCGCGGTTCACACTCGAAGCGACGAGTCACGCACGCACGGATAATTAAATTTACGTTCCGGCGGTGTTCCCGTGCCGCGCTCCCTCCGATCACTGTCGTTCTTCTCGAGTCAAAGATCCGGTGCCAACGAGAAGGGTTCGCAGACGATTTTGTCAGAGGTTAAAAACGGAAAATTGTTGATTGTTACAGGGACCGGTGAGTCGGGAAAGTCTACGTTCATCAAACAGATGAGAATCATCCACGGCTCCGGATACTCGGACGACGACAAGAGGGGGTTCATTAAACTCGTTTACCAAAACATTTTCATGGCCATGCAGTCCATGATCCGAGCGATGGACCTGCTCAAGATCCAGTACGCCGATTCCTCGAATATAGTGAGTATTTTTATCGGCGACCGTGGTTCCCGCCCGACCGTTAATCATGGCGCTCGAATGCAACGTGTGTTCCTCTTCCCGGGTCCGATTCGTAGGAAAAAGCGGAACTCGTGCGGGCCGTGGACTTCGAGACGGTCACGACGTTTGAAAGTCCATACGTAGAAGCAATCAAAGATTTATGGGCGGACGCCGGTATACAGGAGTGTTACGACCGTAGGCGAGAATATCAGCTCACAGACTCCGCAAAGTAGTAAGTACCGTTTCTTCGCGTCTCCCTCTACGTCGACTTAAGGGGACAAAAAAAGAACGAAGAAAGAAAAAATTTCTTATTGTCGGTAATTGGGTCCGTACCGGAGACCCTCCTTTCGTGTGTCTTTTAAGCTCGAACCAGTGTGACCAAGAAATTGTCATCTATAAAAGCGTATCGGACCTTTGACTATATGCACATGGACTGCCAGTTGCATAGGCTTCCAATATCAAGAAAGCGTAGCCAACATTAGATAGCTAAGCTCTGCCCTCGGGACCTATACGTGACCAAAAAGCGGCAATTTTAGCCACTGAATTTGAATTTTACATAGTACAGCTAGTAACAATGAAACTTAGCCAGTTCGGGCTTGTGTTAGTTTCCCCTTTCCCAAAATTTAAAACTAGTAATAAGTTTACGTCTTGTTTTTTCAATGCCCGATCTAGCATCGATACTGTTGGATTTTAATATAATTTTGACGCGCCAAAAATTTTAGGTTCCGAGCAACGTGGCGCTATTATAATGTTGGCTACGTTCTTTTAGCGAACCACTGGTCCCTGTGTATATAGCCAAAGTGTCAGACGACGGTAGCAACGAATCGTTCTTTCGATTCGATGGTCTGTTCGTCGGACGAACGATTTCTCGATGTGAGCACCAGCTTCGAGCGCGGTAGGGTAATCGCAGTGCCGTAGAGAAACACTTTCGCCCAATGAGAATCACGGCGAGCGAGGAAGAGGCCTCGAGGGGTCGTACGACGATGTACGGCGCTGAAGAAGTTCGAGCTTACGTCGAGAGATCACGGTGTTACATTTTATTGTGCAAAATGCATTTTGCAAGCGGCGCATTTCTCTGTCCCCGCGCATCGGGTATTGAGGATCTAATGTTTCAGTTACCTAATGGAGATAGATCGAGTCGCAGCACCAAACTACCTCCCCACAGAACAAGACATTCTTCGCGTGAGAGTGCCCACTACCGGTATAATTGAATATCCTTTTGACTTGGAAGAAATCCGATTTAGGTAGGTCTCGTCGTGCAAAGAAAGGAAGAACCTGGTGGCTGCCTGTGCCTGTGCCTGTGCCTGTGATCTACTCGCATCGGACTCTTTCTGCATTGTGGCTGCATGCGTTGTGACTCACCGGTTTCACTTATTTCCCTGCATCAAAATCTCTCTATCGTTCCCTTCTATTTTCCACTCCGCTGATTTCTCTATCGATCTCTTTCCGGTTTTGCGAAACGGGTATCGCGAACAGTTTCTCGAGCAGGAAATTTCGCACGACGACGTCGACGACAACGACGGCGGCGACGGCGGGGATTATTATCATTATTGTTATTATTATTATTATTATTATTAAGAGCTGTTCTCTATCGTGGCACATGAAATACATATGTGCTCTCCTCTCCTAACGATCATCCCTCGACACATGCATGGCATGCACTCTATCAGAACTGTGGCTTCGTTTGTTTTGCAGTTATCTTAGTGACCTAGAACGTATCGAAAAGCCCGACTTCCTTCCCTCCGAACAAGACATTCTTCGGGCCCGAGCTCCCACTACTGGCATTATAGAATATCCGTTCGATCTGGACTCCATCATATTTAGGTACTAACACACTCGAATTTTTACTTACGTTCTTAGAAATTTGTCGTTCCGCTCGGTGAGCGAGATCGCAAGTATGTAAATCGAATCGTTGTAGAATCGGTGTGCTAATACGGAATAAAACGGGTCGGTGGTCAAACAGAATTTACATTTATCTTTAAATATAAAATTACATAAAATAAAATAGGTTTCTGAAATCTTTTAGATCTCGTATTGCTCCGTTCGACCGTTCGTCAAATCGATCGTAGTCGCGTCGCTCAGTTTCTCGAGTCAGAAAAAATCTCGTAGTTGAAGAATAAAAGGTACACGTACGTTTTGCACGTTTCACTGTTTGCACGTTGCGACCATACCCATTTACCTCCATTGACTAACTTTCTCTGAAGTCGCGACGCGTCGCATCGTTAATAATATTCGTTCGTGCACAATTGTTAAAGTTTATGATACGACATCGTTGACCAAGTAGTGGACGGTCGTTGTCGATCACGCGTGTAGTAAGTGTAAACAGAATCATAATTACTCGTACCTTGGAGCACTTCCTCGGGGTAAATGAACACGTTTAAAAATAGATTTGTTCTACCGATCCCCGTTTTGATTTTCTCCACTTCTCTTAGAACGTTCCTGGTTCTCTTGTTCGCTGCATGTTCGTCTCTGCGACTCACGGCTTTGTGAATGTCGCAACATTTCCATTCTAATTACTCTTGTACAGCAGAGCTTTGAACAACGAGAGAAGTTGGAAGTGATAAATAAAAATGAGCGGAACAGTAAAACGCTTTGATCGTAGAACGGATGAAACATAATTTTATTTTGCAGGATGGTGGATGTCGGTGGACAGAGATCGGAAAGAAGAAAGTGGATCCACTGTTTCGAGAATGTCACTTCTATCATCTTTCTAGTAGCTTTAAGTGAATACGATCAAATTTTGTTCGAGTCGGAGAACGAGGTATGTAACTGCAATGATCTCTTTCTCTCTCTTGTGTTTTTCTCTGAGGACACGATCGAATCATGAATCTGGCCAATTGTCATTTTTCAGAATCGAATGGAAGAGAGTAAGGCGTTGTTCAAAACAATTATCACATATCCTTGGTTTCAACAGTCCTCTGTGATTCTATTCTTAAACAAGAAGGATCTGCTCGAAGAGAAGATTATGTACTCCCATCTCGTCGACTACTTTCCCGAATACGATGGTACGTACACGCCGTTAACGTCCCAATTTCATTGTCCGATCTGAGAACGTACAAATGAATCGAGCAGACGCGGTTCTTTTCGTCCCTGGGTCGAGCGTACGCCAGAAACGGTTTTTAATTCTGGAGTGACGTATCATTTTCGTGTGCGGCGTATTCGTGCGGTTCGATTGTTCCCTTGTTAAACGAACGAGTTTTATTGTGTAGGCCCGAAACAGCAAGACGTACCGGCCAGGGAATTTATCTTGAAGGTGTATCTCTCCTGTAATCCCGATCCAGACCGCATGTGCTACTCTCACTTCACGTGTGCGACAGGTCTGTTTAAAACGCAACGAAACATCGTAGACGTTTCCTCGTAGAAACAGACGCGTTCCGGTGTAAATGATAAAGTTGTAACACGTATTTCTAAGGCCTGATCCTAACCTTCCTACCGGTAGACACGTGACGGAGTACGCGTTTTCCGCCTGGGCCCATACGATCCGGATTCTTTTGGTCGCCGTTGGTGAATCTGGTTCGACGTCATGGCGCGCATCGCGTAACGCAACGCTCGTTGTTCCACCTTTTAATGACCGTCGTTATACGAGTGTACGAGTCCCTATAATTTAATGAAACGGGCACGCGCTTATCGAACTTAGGTAAAGCTGATCCAGTCGGCAAAACTTTTAAGAGGTTTCTTTGTGAGTCAACGGAACTAATCGAATAACGTTACCTTCGGATTTAATCAGATTTGGATAAAAACTATGTATCGATTCGGCAAATCGGATTAACGGCGAAGTCTCGTTCGACGTTAGGTTCAACCTCGATCTTGTTCGGTTTTTAAATTCGTTACGCATTCGTGTTACGCGGCATAATAAGATAATCGGTCTTCTTCCCCTGCTCGCGTCCCTTTTTTTCGCTTGACACGTGTTCTACGCAGATGCCAGAGATCCCGTGTGAATCATCCAGAATCGATGATGTCGATTTAAATTGTAACGTCCCCCTGATAGACAAAACGCTAGTAAGCGCTTGGATAAAGTACAAATAGAAGTAATGTCGATTCGTGTGCTTGCTTATATATTTCACAGGCCCACAAAGAGACGCCCAACATGCTAGAGAATTCATTTTACAGATGTTTGTCGACTTGAATCCAGACGTCGAGAAGATTATATATTCGCATTTTACGTGTGCCACAGGTAGGCCGCTAGTAATTGATGCTAATGCGTGTTTCTTTTTGCTTTTTAACGTTATGTGCGTTGTGCAAGACAATTTGCATGCAGCCTACGGCCCGTATACCGCAGCAGGTGCGTAATTTTTATGCTGATCGTTGTTCACTATCGAAAAGTCGGTCTAACGAATCGGTTTAAGGTAGCTCGATAGCATTTGCAAAACATGCGATTTTAATACAAGTTCAACTAAACAATAATTAAAGTTTCGAACTTTCATTTTCCGTAAAGAAAATTTAGGGTCTCCGTGAAAATTGTTTAGAAAAATTCATTAGAAAATTCTTATTTTTAACATGGGAGCTTATGCAAACTTTTGTATAAATGCCTCGTGCGATTTCATATCATATACGTTTTCAATAAAAAAAAAGATGGTTATAGATTTTTTTACGGGGAATGCGATGATGTAAAGAAAAATATAGGTTTCCGTGGAAAAGAACGAAATAATAATGATCAAAGCCAATGAATAATACTTTTATCACCCCATCATCGCCCCAGTCATAAATAAAAAGTTGTTTATTTTACTTTGTTTAATATATTTTTTTATAATATTACATTAAAATATATGAATGTGGAAATGATAATATACATTTAATAATGAAATTTTCACTTCATATTCTTATTTTAAAATAAGCCCATTGTAGGGCTCTCTCTTGATACGTTACACAAATAGCGAGCTACCTTAACTAACTGATGGATACGATATCACGCGAATTAGACTGATTTTTCTGCCTTCTCCTCCTTGTTCTCCTTCTTCGACTCCAAGTGTACGTACTAACATTAATTTACGGTTTACTGTTGCATGCTGCGTCTTACCGGATTACTTCGTCAGACACTGAGAACATCAAGCTTGTATTCTGTGCCGTTAAGGACACGATAATGCAAACTGCACTCAAAGAATTTAATCTCGCTTAATTTGATCCTCGACGATTTTTTCCACTTATTATTAAATATTATTGTCATTATTATTGTTGTTGTTATTGTTATCATTGTTATTCGGA